ACACAAAAGATGTATTCACATTTAAATGCTGGAGTGTGGATTTCCTGTCAAATATAAAGAAATCACACTATCACGCTTGAATTCCAACACGAATGTAGACCCCTTTGTGAGGGAGGTGCCAGAAAGAGTGGATCGACATCTAACATCTTCACACCAGATCTTGTGCTGGTAGAAATATAAAGATTTGATTAAGAAATATTAAATTTGAAGAGAATCGGATGCTTTTTTGCATTTTATAAGAGTTATAATTATTCGAAACTTTGACCCTTTCTGGGGGAGGTCCAGAGAGAAAGATCCGAAATATCCTATCTTCATAGCAAATCTTTTGTTAGTAGAAATATTGGGATATGTTGATGTTGAGTCGCTTTTTACGAGATTCATGGTTATTCAAAATCTTCACCCTTTGTGGGGGAGGTACCAGAAGGAGTGGACCGATATATCCCATCTTCCAAGTAAATATTGTGTTAGTAGAAATAATGGAATATGTGAAATATGAAAAGGACGGAATGCTTATTTCGTATTTTATAATCGTTTTGGTTATTCAAAACTTTGACCCTCTGTGGAGGAGGTACCAGAAGGAATTGTCCAGACCTTGTGTTGATAGAAATATTGAGATGTGCCAAATCTGAATGGAATCGGTTGCAAATTTCGCATTTTATAAGAGCTATAATTATTCAAAATTTTTACCCTTTGTTGGGGTAAAGTTTTTGCATCTGATCTAGAAATATTCAGATTTGCAAAGTTGGAACAAAATTATTGCTTCTCCTTCTGTGGATTTTTTTTTTTTTGAAAAGTGAACCGATGTATTCTATCTTGGTACCAGACCTTGGGTTAATAAAATTATTGGGATGTGTGGAATTTAAAGACAATCGGACTCTTACATCACAAAATTGGAGCAAAATCGGATTTTCGTTTCTCTTTCTGTGCAGAAAATATTTTTGAGAATTTCGATCTTTTGCAAGGAGGGAGTGAACCGATACATTCCATTTTCTCACCAGAGCTAGGGTTATACAATTATTGGGATATGAGAAATTTGAAGGCTTACATCACGTTTTATAAGAGTTGTAATTATTCAAAATTTTGAGCATTTGTGGGCGAGGTACTTGATGGAGTGATCCGATATTAACCATTTTCACACCTGACTTAGCACTGACGCAAATACTAGGATTTGCGAAGTTGGAGCAAAATCGGATAATCTTTTCTCTTTCTGTGCAAAATATATATATATATATTTTTAAATTTCGACCTTTTGTGTGGTACCAGAAGGAGTGGACCGATACCTCCATCTACACCAAACCTTAGGTTAATATAAATATTTGGATATGTGTAATTTGAAGGCAATCGGACTCTTACATAACGTTTTATAAGAGTTGTAATTATCCAAAATTTTGACCCTTTGTGGGGGAGGTACCTGATAGAGTGGACCGATATTATCCATTTCTATTTCTGTGCAATAAATTATTTTCTTTGAAAATATTGCCATTTTGTGTGGGAGGTTCCAGAAGGAGTAGACCGATATTGTCCATCTCCGAACTCGATCTAAGTTTGACAATAATATTACAATGTACCAAGTTTGGATCAAATCGGATACTCCCTTCGAGAGTTATAGTGGGCACCAGTCAGCCAGATAGACGAACAATAGGACATCGCTAGATCGACTCCAAATCTCCTGAAACGGATTTGTTCCAAAGAGACCTAGGGTCTTAAACCTTTATTTCGATGAGGCACGTTTTGACCGTATCAAATTGTATATACCCTCTGTAGCCAAATGGCTGACGGTATAATTTGGCGTTGGACTTTGTTGCAGTTTTTTTTATCTCACCCTGTATATTAGATTCCTCTGAAACTAAATTAAAACTGCTCGAAAGCCAAATGTAGATAGGTGCTATATTCTACATCAAATAAATTCTTTTGTTACGGGACCTCTACTAAATATGCATAGTGGTGTGGGGTATCATTTAGTCGGCTCGCTCGACTTTTGACTTTTCCTTACTGGTTTTATGCAAGGAGTGTGGGTTAATTTTATACAATTTAAATAGTAACTCTCCCCTTAATGCAAAATGCCTTAAAAAGGAAGTTGTGCATTCAGTAATTTAATATAATTCCGTAAATAACTTCCACTCCCACAAATAAACACTAACAACCATAAGGGGGATAATCGCCCAAGGCACAATATCAAAATAATCAAGATTACATCGTCGCATAGTATTCCATTGCTGAAATTCAGTTGATGGCTTGGTTTCAATTTTTGCGAGTAGGTTAGACTCTTTAAAAATCAGTGACATGAAATGTTTAAAATTCAAATTTATTTTAAAATCTATTTGGCAAATGTCATTTGAAGCTGGGTTATGTGCCACTTTCGGACAAAGTGTAAGTATATCGAACAGGGTAGCAAGGTAAGTATATCAGTTCATAGTGTGCATCATAGGGGATACATATCGTTGCAATTAATTTCTATTGATTTAGAAATAAAGTCTTGGTTGGCCATAGCCTATCACGGTTGCCCGCCGGTTTTGGAAGAGAGGCGATGCATGGTTTTTGTAGGCCTACGTTGGGATGCCGTACCATGTAAAATATAAATGGCAACGCACAGTGTGTAGTACCTCAGGGGTTGTGTGGAAATCTACACGATGCAGGGTAATTGCTAGCCGCAGTTAAAAAAATAAATATTTTTAACAAACATTTTTAAATAAAACAAGTAAAAAAGCAGTAAGTTCGGCCGGGCCGAACTTTGAATACCCTCCACCATTTGGAACGAATTAGAAAATTTTCAAAAAAATAAAATCCAATAAAAATTCTTTTAAAATCTTTAAAATATCTAATATAGGAAGGTGCCGATATATGGGGGGATATACGATATTGTGGACCTATAAAGACAAATCTATGTCTGCGTGTAAAGTACTCACAAGGAACTCCGTGTGTGGATTTTCAGACAATACGATTGGAAAATGTGGCTAAAATCATCAAAATACTGAATATCGCGGGGTACCGTTATATGGGAGCTATACGTTATCGTTAACCTATATAGAGAATTCTCTGTCGGTGGGTAAAGTGCTCACAAAGAACCCCTTGTGACCATTCCGTTGAAAAATATGGCTAAAAACATCAAAATACCGAATGTCGGGGGTACCTTATATGAGGGCTATACAATATCGTGGATCTATATAGATAATTCTCTGCCGAGGTATAAAGTACCCACAAGGAACTCCTTGTGTGGATTTTCAGACAATTCCGATGAAATGTGGGTCAAATCATAAAATACCGAATATCGGGAGGTACCGTTATATGGGGGATATACGATATCGTGGACCTGTATAGACAATTCTCTCTCAGGGGGTGAAGTACTCACAACGAACTACTTGTGTTGATTTTAAGACAATTCCATTGAAAAGCGTGGCTAACATCATCAAAATACCGAATATCGGAGGTTACAGTTATATGGGGGATATACGATATCGTGGACCTATATAGACACTTCATTTTGAGGAGGTTAAATGCCCACAAGGGACTTTTTTTGTGGATTTTTAGACAATTCCGTTGAAAAATGTGTGTAAAATCATCAAAATACCAAATATCGGGGGTACCGTTATATGGGGGCTATACGATATTGTGGACCTATATAAATAATTCTCTGCCGAGGTATAAAGTACCCACAAGGAACTCCTTGTGTGGATTTTCAGACAATTCAGTTGAAAAATGTGGGTAAAATCATCAAAATACCGAATATCGGGGGGTACCGTTATATGCGGGCTATACGATATTGTGGACCTATATAGATAATTCTCTGCCGAGGTATAAAGTATCCACAAGGAACTCCTTGTGTGGATTTTCAGACGATTCCGTTGAAAAATGTGGGTAAAATCATCAAAATATCGAATATCGGGGGGTACCGTTATATGGGGGCTATACGATATTGTGGACCTATATAGATAATTCTCTGCCGAGGTATAAAATACCTACAAGGAACTCTTTGTGTGGATTTTCAGACAATTCCGTTGAAAAATGTGGGTAAAATCATCAAAATACCGAATATCGGGGGGTACCGTTATATGGGGGCTATACGATATTGTGGACCTATATGGACAATTCTCTGCCGAGGTATAAAGTACCCACAAGGAACTCCTTGTGTGGATTTTCAGACAATTCCGTTGAAAAATGTGGGTAAAATCATCAAAATACCGAATATCGGGGGGTACCGTTACATGGGGGCTATACGATATCGTGGACCTATATGGACAATTCTCTGCCGAGGTATAAAGTACCCACAAGGAACTCCTTGTGTGGATTTTCAGACAATTCCGTTGAAAAATGTGGGTGAAATCATCAAAATACCGAATATCGGGGGGTACCGTTATATGGGGGCTATACGATATTGTGGACCTATATGGACAATTCTCTGGACCGATATAGCCCATCTTCGAACTTGACCTGCCTGCAGACAAAAGAGAGATCTGTGCAAAATTTTAGCTTCCTATCTTAATTCGTTTAGACTGTAGCGTGATTACAACAGACGGACAAACGGACGGACAGGGCTAAATCGTCTTAGAATTTTACGCTGATCAAGAATATATATACTTTGTTGGGTCTAAAATGATTATTTCGATGAGTTACAAACGGAATGACAAAGTTAATATACCCTCCATACCTTTTTTGGTGGAGGGTATAAAAATCGTAATACTTTTTTTTATAAAATTGCTCTCATAAATCATAAAAAAATGAAAATGTTTTTTTTTGTTCCCAAAGTGTGTGTGTGTGTAAAGTAATATTTGACAAACTGTATATTTCTGTAACCTAAAAATATCAAATATTTTTTATTTTCAACAAAGACTGTGTAAATATTTTGTTGCCAAAAAGAAAATCTATCTTGCGAACATTCATCAACTTTCCGTAAGCTTATTTGCGTCATGTCTCGAAACTTTCCATTCGCGACTATTTCAAAATAAACAAACATTATTTAATATTGAGAAAAACAACTGAAGTTTATTTTAATAAATAAAATTGGTTTTTTATTGAAAATGGAATATTTAATTTCAAGACAAGATATAAATATCTTCAATGGATACTCCAAAGAACAGTGCAGAACTGGCAAGCATAAAATTATGAACGCATTGAAGACTTTTGTGGTATTGGCCTCCCTTATTGGCTTGACCTTGGCCGAGGACTATTGCAACAAAGATTTGTGTTGGTATGGAACACACGTTGCCTGTGGCCATAATGGGGTAAGACCTAACACGAAATTTGAAAATTATTTTGAAAATATACATCTTTTTCTAAAATCCTCCCAACACGCAGCAATTCGCCAAAACATGTCCCAAAGATGCTGCCCTGGTCAAAATAGATCAAACCTTGAAAGATCGCATTGTGGCTGACTTCAATAAGAAACGTAACTTCATTGCTGGTGGTGGTGACTCGAATCATTCTCCTGCCTGTCGCATGGCCACAATGGAGTGGGACGATGAATTGGCCAAATTGGCTGAGCTGAATGTCAAGCAGTGTGAAATGGAACATGACGATTGTCACAACACTCAGAGCTTCCCAGTGTCGGGACAAAATCTTGCCTGGATGACCTACTTTGGTACACCCCACATTCCAAGTCTTATCGATGGTTCGATTCAAATGTGGTATGATGAACTCAAGGATAGTAGCATGAAATACATCAGGAGCTATCATCAGCATGAGGAAAATGCGTAAGTTTTATCGCTAGAAGCCTTACCATAGAAAAGTGGGATATTAATGAAAATCTTGAAAATTTTAGTGTCATTGGTCATTTCACCGCCATGGTTGCTGATCGCAACTATCGCCTGGGTTGTGCTGCCTCTACCTACACCGAAACTGGCAAAGATTATTCATCGTTCTTGTTTGCCTGCAACTTTGCCTTCACCAACGTTTTGGACCAACCCATCTACACTGACTGCGCTAAAGCTGGTACGGATTGTGCCACTGGTGCCAATCCTAAATATCCTAATTTGTGTTCAACATCGGAAAAATATAAGGTTACCTTCTTTTAGGTTGCGGACATGTTAAAAATAAAATAAAATAAAATGTAAAAAAATAAATTTCAATTTGTTTGATTGGATCCATATTCTGAGATCTATGGTTAAAGTTAGGGAACATAATTTTGGAAATATCAAAGATCGAATTAGAAGGAAATTTTTAATCTTCTTTTGAAAAAGAAAAAAAAAAACAAGTAAAAAGCAGTAAGTTCGGCCGGAACAAACATTTAATACCCTCCACCATTTGGAATGAATTTGGATATTAAAAAAATACGTTGACAAATACTCTTGAAAATCATAAAAATGCCGAATCTAGGGAGTTACCGTTATATTGAGGTCTATACGAAAACGTGGAGATGCATATGCAGTTTTTTGTCACACGCTGTAATACCCACTACGAACTTTAAATACGAAATTTTGAAAAATTCCGGTGAATAATTTTGCTAAAATCATCACAATATCAAATATAGCGAGGTACCGTTATAGGGGGGTTATAACAGAATGTGGACCTGTTTAGACAACTTTGTCTTTGTCTGGCACAGGCGGAAGTACCTGTTATGAATTCAAATACGAAATTTGAAACAATTCCGGTAAATAATGTCGCTAATATCATCAAAATATCGAATGTAGGGAGGTGCCGTTATATTGGGGCTATATGAAGACGTGAACCTGCATACGCAGTTTTCTGTCACAGGCTGTAGAAGCCGTCACGAACTTAAAATACGAAATATTAAACAATTCTGATGAATAATGCCGCTAGAATCATAAAAATTCCGAATGTACGGTTTTATGGGGACTGTACCCAAACGTGGACCTATATAGCCCATTTTCAATATCAAAAGTCCTGCAGAACAAACACGCATCTGAGTAAAATTTTATCAACCTACTTCGATTTGTTGGAAGCTAGAGTGACTTCCACAGACAGACGAACGGACGGACGAACGTGCAGCATCGCTAAATCGACATAGAATTTTAAGCTGTTCAAAAATATATATATTTCAAGGTGTTACTCCTCCATACTGAGGTGGAGGGTATAATAACCAAACATATTTACAGGGTTGCCCATATTCGACGGACCCATCTGGCAACGCCATAACTTTTGACAGAGATGTCACATCGCTTAATGACATATCGCGTTTTAAGCATCAGTCCAAGCAGATTTTTAACATGAACCAATTCACGCCACGCGAGCGTTCTGAAATAGTTGGAATTTACATTCAACAGAAGAAGTCAATTGTGAAAACTCAACGTGCTTTTAAAACATTAAAAAATGTTAGAAGTGCGCCTTCTAAGAACACCATTAAGCGTTTATACGAAAAATTTTCGACTGGTAAGGCTCTTTCTAATCCAAAGAGGCCATATAAAAGTCGACCAAAGCGATCGGCCGAGAATATCGCTGCCGTACGAGCCAGTGTTGAGAGGTCCCCAAGAACATCCCAAAAACGCCGTTCTCAGCAGTTGGGCATGGCTCGGTCCACTTTACAACGGATTATTCGCATTGATTTGCATTTGTTCCCTTACAAAAGTCAATTGACGCAAAGAATGTTGCCTGCGGACAAGCCTCGTCGATTGGAATGGGCCCGAAGGGCCCAAAGGTCCGTTGAATATGGGCAACCCTGTATTAGGTGACTTTCTTGTGGCTTAGGAGGTAATAGTAACATCAAACCACTACTGATATCCTCCACATGCATGCATTACGTTGACCCGGACCCACAACATAAAGACATCATACAAAAATGTGATCCAAATGCCCACCGACAGGAATCAATTTTATTTTTAAGGCTCGATTAGCATACATTGAGGGGCTCAAAAATTCCTTTTAGATAATAGCCTACACGTAGGCTATAAAAATGCTACCAACAGCGTGTTTAATCTAGCATTTAATAATATAGGCCAACTTCTCAGAACGATGTAAATTGCTGGCATGACGCTCTTTAATAGAATTTAGAATTCATCTGTTTTTATACCCTCAGCCATATGGCTAGAGAGGGTATATATTATTTGAAAAGGTCAAAACATGCCATACATGAAAAAACTGGTTTAGACCCAGATCTCTTTGGACCAAATCCGTTTCAGGACATTTGGAGTCGATCTAGCGATGTCCGTCTGTGTGTCTGGCTAGCTGGCTGTCGATAAGTATCCGATTTGATCCAAACTTGGTACATCGTAATATTATTGTGAAACTTAGATCGAGTTGTGAGATGGGCAATATCGGTCCACTCATTCTGGTACCTCCCCCACAAAAAGTCGAACTTTTCAAAAAAAAAAAAATCTTTTCCTGCACTGAAAGAGAAAGAATCATCTAATTTTGCTCCACTTAACAAATACTAATTTTTGTATCAGTGCTAGGTCAGGTGCGAAATGGACAATAAAGTCCCACTCCATCAACTTACTCATATGTGATAAGATAAATTAAATTCGGAACCCACGCCATTGAGGGTCAATAATTTGAATAATCATAACAGAAGTCAAAATATATTTAAATAATCGAACATTGGCTGAGAGTAAACATCTGTCGGTGGTAAGGGTATTATGTGGTAAGGTGGTAAGGGTATTATGTCTTTGAGCATTTGTTTGTAATATGGAGAAGGAAGCGAGATAGACCCATAGACTTTTGAGAATCTACATAGAATCACTTTCTGAGTTGATTTATGCATGTCAGTCCGTCCGTCTGCCCATGTATTCTTGTGAACAAAATTCTGAAATTTTCCAAACAACATTTATTTGGCTTAAAGATGAACCCTATTAAAATTGGAGATAATCGGTAAAAATTTAGATATAGCTCCCATATATATCTTCGTCTGATTTGCCTTTTATTGTGCACCAAACGTGTAATATCAGTCCGAATAGTATGCAATTTTTCACATACAACTAAATTAGGTCTGAAAATAAGTATGCCAAATTTTATTTTTTATTTAATCGGTTCAGATATAGCTATAGCTCTCATATATATTTTTCACCCGATTTGTTATTTTTCTCCTCCGCAGCCATAATGTGCACACTGTAACAACAATTTTTGGGGAAATATATCAAATGCAGCTCAGAAATACCTTTGCTAAATTTTATCGACATTTGTTGGATTTGTATATAGCTCCCATATCTAACTTCGTCCGATTTACTTTTATTGTACACCAAACGTCTAATATTTGCCCAAATGGGATGGAATTTGGCATATGCGACCGAATTGAGTCTAGAAGCTAGTATGCTAAATTTGCTGAAGATCGGTTCAGATATAGCTATAGCTCCCATATATATTGTTCATCCGATTTGTTGTATTTGTTACCCACAGCCGTAATATGCACTCCGTAACAACGATATTTAGGAGAATATATCAAATACAGCTCAGAAATGTCTTTGCCAAATTTTATCAAAATCGGTTCAGATTTGGATATAGCTCCCATCTATATCTTTATCTGATTTCAAATTAATTTTGCACCAAATGGACAATACAAGTCCGAATTTAAAAGATACAAATGCTTCGGCATATTTAGTCCATTGAACTTTAAATTACAATTATAATCATAGCGTGTATGATTGAATTCTCCCATAAAAACTTGTAATTGTCATGTAGAGCTCTACTAAATTAGCAAAGTGGTGTAGGGTATCATAAAGTCGGCCCCGCCCGACTTGAGGACTTTCTGTACTGGTTTCGCATAAATTTGGCACGTACAAATATTTTTATCAGTATTATATAATGTGGTCCGGTTATATGGTACCTCACTCATATATCAACATTTTACAAAAAATATCCCATATCTCATAAAATGTGAAGATAGGATAATATAGTTCAAATTTGACACGTTATAATATTTATAACAGTCCTAGGTCAGATACAAAATGGACACTCCACTCCTTTGGAACTTCCCACATTAATTGTAAACAGTTTAACACTCATAGCGCATGGTTGAGAGTATACATCTGCTGGCAAAAGAGACCGATAATTTTTAACTTTTTTTACTTATCAATATCTCCGTTCTTTAAGTATTATTTACTTCTCTCTTTTCATTATTAAATTATCTCTATACCAGCGGTGCTCAAGAAAAAATATCTCTTTCCAGTCAACTTTCTCTTTGCTTATTTAAATGAAGAACAAAACAGTGTCAAGTCATTATTTATACAAATATTTTTTATCTTAAAATGCTAAAAATAATCGTAAAATATAAAGAAAATAAGAATTTTAATTTTCTCTTAAATTATCTCCTTTTTCCGCTCATGTTCTAGAACACGGCTTTGAGCAGGGCTGCTCTATACTAATTAATTCTCTTTATTAATACATGATCTCTTTCGAACCTACTGTGATACACAAATAAAGGTAAAGTATACCTTTACACACTGTTACATTCTCTCTCTCCCTCTCCCTCTCTTAAATAAGTTCTAATGCTCTTACATTTATTAAATCATTTACTCTGTTATTGCCTAATTTTAAGTACTACCAGGGATCCAAATCAAAGAAATACAAACAATTTTTTAAAAGTTTTATTTTTTATTTTTTTATTATTTCCGCTATCTAAAAGAATGTAACCTTATATTTTTCCGATGTTGAACACAAATTAGGATATTTAGGATTGACACCAGTGGCACAATCCTTAGCGGGTCTAGCACAGTCAGTGTAGATGGGTTGGTCCAAAACGTTGGTGAAGGCAAAGTTGCAGGCAAACAAGAATGATGAATAATCTTTGCCAGTTTCGGTGTAGGTGGAGGCAGCACAACCCAGGCGATAGTTGCGATCAGCAACATTGACGGTGAAGTGACCAATGACACTGAAATTTTCAATATTTCCATTAATATCCCACTCTTTCATGGTAAGGCTTCTAGCGATAAAACTTACGCATTTTCTTCATGTTGATGATAGCTCTTGATGTATTTCATGCTACTATCCTTGAGTTCATCATACCACATTTGAATCGAACCATCGATTAGACTTGGAATGTGGGGTGTACCAAAGTAGGTCATCCAGGCAAGATTTTGTCCCGACACTGGGAAGCTCTGAGTGTTGTGACAATCGTCATGTTCCATTTCACACTGCTTGACATTCAGCTCAGCCAATTTGGCCAGCTCGTCGT